AGGGATACATGTAATTTCCACTTCTTTCTTTGGTTCTTCACGGGCCTTTCTATGGGAGCCCATTTAATATTTTTAAGAGTCCGAAACCTTGTCTCCATGTGTTTGCCCGAAACCAATTTTTTTCAAACTTCATTAAAATGAAACCCAGAGCTCCTGTTTGGCTTAACTAAAAACATTATATTAAAATTTAAATAAAAGTTAATAATTTAATTTTGTTTATATTTTATGACACACACAACTTTTTTATTACACATTTCATAAACTTTTATCAAAATCTACTAAAATATGATTTTTATCAAAATTTACTAAAAATCTGATTTTTATCTAAATCAAACAGGGCGGAGACTTATTTTCCGATTTAATAACATAACATGAAGGTCTTGTTGGAAAAATTGCTATGAGAATAAGTCATTGGAGAACACGAAGACAAGTAAATATTTTTGAGAAGGTGTGGATGAAAAGTTGAAAATGATAATTAGACTTCATTTCGGTATGTAGTGATGTTATTTTTTCCCTATTCCTATCAATTGCGGGATGATACCCTTTTAGCTTGGAAAAAGGAACGTGTGATGTGCAATTGTGTCTGGTTTAACATAGTTCAATGTCGAAAGAAAGTATCGAATATTGCTATGATTATAATTGAAAGAACAAAAGAATTACTATTATGCAGACTCCAAACAAATGAACGAATATAATATTCCTGTGCCTAAATTGATCAAACTTGAGGGAAGAAAAAATCATGCTGCGGGGTTAATGCCACACTCTGGAGGGAATCCTTGTCCGAATCTCTTTGAATCAGAGCAATAATTATATATCATGTAATTTTTCTGCACCCATTTTAATCTCTCTTGGCTTGTGGAATCCAATTCTTCGTTTAGCCATGACTTGGTGCTGCTGGAAGACGAAGTAGAAGATGGAGTGCAAGAAGATGAGCCGGATGATGATGAAACACAGGCATTTGCATTGAAATTTCTGTAAGATGCAGTAAAGGGAGCCTGATTCCAATCGGTTTTCACGAGCCCGCCTCTTGTTGCCCAGTCGTCTGCGTTCCACAGGCTAGAGTAAATTCTCATTGGTTGGTTCTTTGGGTATGCAACACCTAGGGACTCTGCATTCTTGAATTCTCTGATTGGTGTGCCATCCACAGAAAAGCTGAAATGGGAGCACAAAATTAGTCAGAAAAAGTTCAACATAAGCATATTGGTGACCACGTCGTGTAAATGAATTCAATCTGCACGTGAAGAGGCGTGTACTAATGTGAAACTCCTTACATGATGCGTTGGGGATTCCAAAGGATGGAATAGGTGTGAAAATCTGCAGTTGGGTCGAACCAGAGATAGAATTGCTGCTCCCTGTTGCCCTTTCCTTGGCTAAACACATTGGTGTGAAGAATATAAGGATCCCCACTAAGGTTTCCCAAGAACTCAAAGTCTATCTCATCATGGGTTGATCCTTGAGATGACAACTGCTCAGTACATAACACAATGTTAGCTACAAGATGAACTCGATAACATTGTACAATAAGAAAGAAAAAGAAGTTAAAATTTTGTCTAGTGCATACATAATAGGCAGTGACGGTGCCAGCAGAATTTCCAGGGACGAGTTTGAGTTGCATATCAATCTTGCCAAAGAGATACTCATTCTTGGATTGAAATCCAGAGCCAGAAGTTTTATCTAGTGACAGAGTAAGAAGTTCTCCATTGTTTAGTATCTTAGCTCTTCCATCTCCCCATGTGATAGCAAAATCTTGATAGAAATTACCTCCGAGTGCTATTATAAAACAGCTGATTACAAGACTTACAACCAAAACTACAGAAACTGAATTCAAAGAAGCCATTACTGGGGTTTCGAAATGTGTTGGGAAAGAATAGCGAATGAATCTAAAAAGATTTGGTGTTTAAGATTGTGGTTGGATGTTAGAATAGGATGATGCCATCTTAGGTATTTATAGGAAGTTTGTGGGGACTGGAGAAAGTGCAGGGATGGTTCCTTAAGATGGAAATTTCATTGATTATCCTCAATTTATTCCTCAATAGCTAGTTGGTCCCCAATCCCCAACCTTAAAAAAGAACAAGTTGGTTTCCAAACGTTTATTATCGTTACAAATCAGTCTTCAGAAGAAAGAAAAAAGGCAATTAAAATCTGTGTTAAATTGTCCCGTGAACCTCGTAAATATATACTTCATTTCAAAAATTTAAGCACAAGCCCATATTGTGCAAGTAAAATCAGGTTTCATAAAGTTAGACATACGAGGAACAAATGACGACTTAACACAAATTTGCATGGTTTTCATCATTAAAATGTTGAAACTAACTCGCGTGATTTTCAAGGTTGAAGACTATCGAGATAAATAAGTTGTGTACCAATTTGCAATTTTTTTCCTTCCATAAAAAATCATGTTGTGGAGGTGAAGAAGTGTTAAAGCTGGACACAGATGGCCAGTAAGAGTAGTTATAGTGCGATTCTAGCTGATGACAGCCCATATCGCCCTTTTACTACACGCTCTACTTCTGTCGACTAATCATAATATAAATTAATATTAATAAGGTGGGATTTTTAAACCAACATGGCCAATATATTTGAAAATTAAGAATAAAGTTTAATTAAATATGCAAATGATAATTCACATTTTAAAAATAAAATTTTGGTACCAAATGGATCTTTCCATATTCAAACGGACAATTATTCTTTCAAACTATCAATTGAAGAATCGTGCTACACGAACACCTCGGTTGATACCTTGGATGACCGAACACACACACATCAGGGGTCGGACATTATTTTATTTACGCGGGACCCACGCACAATGTGAGGATCGGTCACCCGAGGTGTCAACCATTTTCGGGTAAAGTGGTTTTACTCATCAATTGAATTTGATGGTCTCCACGGTTCATGTCCCTGTTTAATTTTCTAGACGTAAACCCTAAAAATTGTTGATTATACCAATTGGACTCGTCCTGTTGTACAGTACACCGCATTGAAGAAGACATAAGAATTAAAAAAAAAAAATTCAAAAACTCACAAATAAAAACCTTATTTGTCCTAAACTTTTAGGAATGCTTGCAGATGGTTCATGAACCTTAAAACTTCACTACATAGTCAATGAATTTATAAATATTTTCTAGAATTGTTATGTGCACATAAACTAAGATCAGGCTCATTTTGCTAACGGTATATTTTATATGAATAATGTTATCTAACACTTGTTTATGTGTCATTATGTAATATGTTCAATTAAAAGTAAAATTATGTGATGCATTATACAACGGTGCTAAATATCATTACGCATTCTATATTATGTGATTGGTAATGTTAACAATTCATTACAGTGACCAGTCCTTTTCGACATAAGTACTAATCATTCACGTGAACTCGAGGAAAAAAAGGATGATACGATAACGACAATTAAACTGTTATAAGTATCGTGTAAACCGAATCAAGATGGTGCTAATCGCTTCAATTATTCTTTGAATTTAAGAATTATTAGTTCGTGTTGGGCCCCCGATGCACGTTACTTATCGAATTGAAGAGTTGGAGTGCATTAAACTAAGTTAAATTATCCTTTGTTTGAAGCATCTAATCTGGTAAATATGTGACGAAATGTACGAAAGTGAGACATTATCTTCAAAGAGTCGTGGGCATGACTTGCCTAAAGTGGGTGCTGGTAGAGCATAATCACGGAAGGAAATGATTTATTCATGTGCTTGGAACTTTAATATTTCGGATTTATAATTTATACATAAGTGAAGGACACGTAATTTATTTTTGTTAATTTTCGTGTGCATGATATACACACAAAATGAAAACGCAAGTGAATGTAGTCAAATAGTGAAAAAATTCACCAAAATAATTTCTTTTTTTTTTTTAGAAAAAAATAAATGTAACTTATACCTAAATAGTCAATCTTTTGAAATAAATATTTAGTATAGAGAATTCTTTATCTGTTGGTTTAAATGGTTCTAAAATATGGGATCATCATAAGGTAGTTCAAATAGTGATAATAAATTTGTCAAATTCAGACACGTGATGACATGAAACATGATTCGAGCATACGTCATGTTGCTCTAGAAGTTAGATTGAGGACTCCACCTAAGTTGTGCGCTATTTATTTATGATATTAATAAAATATTCTGTACCTCTGATTAAAAGAAATGTAGCGAATTCACTAATCCATACTTATCCACAATTTCTATTAATTTCTATCTTGAAATAAAAAATTAAAGAAGTCGTGCAAATTCAGTGCACTAGATTAAGACCCTCTTTTGTTAAACTAAAAATTAAAAATTAATTTTAAGTTCAAATCAATATTTAATTTTAATTACACGTTTCATTAATCCCGCAACTTTTCAATCACATTCAACCAACTTTTATCAAAATTTAATAAAATATCCGTTCTTATCTAAATCAAAAATGGACTAAATTGGATCGAACAAGCTACAAATAGTATAGATTGGCACGTGCTCTCATCTTTATTTTTATTTTTTTTTAAATTACGTTAAATTCAATATAGCAAACAAACTTTTGTTGAATACATCGCACAATTTATCCAAAAAACTTCTCTTTTAACATATATTTGTGATACTAATTCTAATAATTTTGTGGATTACTACTCATCCAACGACAAGGGATATTGTTAAATCATTAAGTAAACCACAAAAAAAAAAAAAAAATTAATTTGGTAACTAATCAAACATACCACGTGTGGTATCCTAGACCTTAATTTAGTTTCTAATTAACATGTATAGATTCTTTTCGTACTCATCTAGAAAATTATTTCTAAAATTAAGCAATATGCCAATAATCCATCGATAAAAAGCCAGAGATGGAATTTTCCAACCGATGAAATTTTCGTAGTCGATGAAAGTCAAAGCCTTAGAGTTAAGTCAAGCTGGCCGTGGTCTTCTTCAACACTCCCTCCCTGATTGTATTCATCATTCCAATAATTTCTTCTTTCATAATTCATGTCACTGTTAAACCTACCAGCATGTCCTTGCTGATCAATTCCGACGAATGGCCCCGGCAAGTGGCTCCGGCCGCCACCAGCACCTCCTGATGAAAGCTGCCTCTGGTTCATCCCGGCGTGTGGCTTAACCGCGGAGCATAATTCTTTGCTTTTCTTGGCCAAGGTTCTCTCTAGTTTGTGAGCATTTTGGTGTCCTCCAAGAGCCTGTGAACTGTAGAATTTCCTTCCACAAAAGTTGCAAGAAAAAACTCGTACTGGTTCCAAAGGTGTTGATGATGAAGAAGACAAAGGGTCCAGTGCTAGGTTTAGATTTGGCTTATCTTTTAAGGAACTCAGATTAAGAGAAGTATTGGGCTCATAATTCATGGCTAATGAGTATAAGTGGAAATAAGCAGATACTCTATAAGTTGATATGTGTAACTGAAGTGGTATTTAGGTTTTAGATACTAGGTTATATAGAAAAACACACATACATACAAATGTGTGTGTGTGTAGAGAGAGAGAGAGTAAAAACAAATGAAAGAAACTAGAAAGGATGTGAGGTTAGATACATAAAATTGATTGATGCATATATATGAGGGGACTAAGGTAGATTGTTCAGATGAAACAGGTGAAAAAGAATAGGATACCATTTATGTCTTGACTCTTGAGATAGAGAGAGAGAGAGAGAGGTGCAAGTATGTATGGAGGAATAAAAGGATTGTCGACTCCATTAATGGCACTATTATTCCAGTCCCTTGTCTATCAATGAAAACATTTCTTCGGTGCATTTTTCCTCAAAACATATACAGTTTATTCCTTCTAACTTAACAAATTGGTAGCAAAATTCGACGTCCTTTCCTATTGATAAGAGTTTTTCACTTGAACTCTCGACAATAATTTCTATACTGACTTGTCACTGATATTAAATTTGAAATTTTAAATATATTGAGATACAATTCTTACTTAAACACAATTTTTGGAATTAGAAAGACAATATTATTACACATCAAGAAACTAACAAGTCTCACACTATACTTTTAGTGCGATCATATGTTATATAAAACGAATTTTTACAAGTTGAAAGAAGCAATTATTATGCAAAAGGAAAATAACGGGTGGCTTGGTGCAATTATCTTGCTTGCTTGTGAGTGCAACGTCGGAAATCTGTCAAATCATGAGTCCGATAAAATTTTGTCTTTACATTTTGATTTAATCCCCTATGAATGATAAAAATGGGAATCTCCGGATTATTTTCCAATAAAAGAACAACGTGGAGATTAAAATAAGTCATCTTGACTAGGCCAATTACGTAAATTAGGGGGTGGATTCAATTAGAATTTTTGAAAATTTTGATGGATTTTTTTAAGTGATGATTTCTATGAATTCCGTGAATCTTTTAGAGATTTGTATAGAGCTGGTGAAAGTTTTTTGTAGACTTCTATAAACTTTCATTTATAAACTTTTATAGAATTTAAAAGACTCTTGAAGGTTTTCATTTGAAATAGAATTCATGCAGATCTAGTACAATATTATGAAATTATCACATATGAGGTGGTGATTCTCACAATTTCCCTTCTTTTTCCCCACCCCATATAATAAAAAAATATTTTTTTTAAAAATAAAAATTTAAGACCGTAATTAATTATTAATAATACATATAAAATTAAAAATATATATTTAAATTTAATTATAAATTAGTCTATATAAAATTTTATAATTTAATTAAAAATAGATACTTTTCACAAAAAATAAATGAAAAAAACAAAGAAAAAAAGTTATAAGAATACAATTAAATTTTTTTCATAAAAAATAGAAATAAATGATAAGAGAGATAAAAAAAATTAAATTTTAATCATAATTCTAATGTTCATAGAACGGATGTCAACATTTTTACCCATCAAAAGAATCTAGCAAAGTTCATCGATAGTAGTTATGCAAGCATGTATGGCAAAGACTAAAAAACTAAAGTAATTTTTTATCCTTTAATTTCAATAACGAAGGAAAAAAGAAGATAATCCGTTTCACGGGACTTCTACTTGTTATTGAAAAAAAAGCTCGATGGGGAAATTACCTTAAACTGACTTCTTCTAAAAGTTCTTCTAATCATATAAAGTACATTTATAAAATTATTCTAACATATTCAAAAGTAGTTTCTTAATTTCATAAACAACTTTTTTACTTTTCAAAAATACTGTCAAACGATTCCGTATTGGAATGAGAAATCTAATTAGATGATTTAACAAGCATCATGCTGGATCAAAAGAACGGGTAGCACATGGGATAGTGTTTGGAAAGTGAGTAATAAATCCACTACAAGAGGTACAAATGAGAATGGACTTACTGCTTTGGCTAAAAATGACATTTATATTGCATGGTAATTGTGAGATCATAGTCTTGGCTGTCGGCTTATAATTGTGGTAAATACTGCTGTCTGTCTCTCATTTGCAGGCACGAGATGTCCGAACGAACACATTAACTCGCTTTGCACACCCGATGAAAGAATGATATAACTTTATACGGATTTGTTGAAATTAATGATTTTATCTAATTTGTAGCGTATTACAATTAGAATGCGCTTTTAAATTTTTTTATAAAATAATATTATTCATCATCATTGTTTTTCAGTGACATTCAATTATTGCCATATAATCACTGATCAGTAAGTATTGCTTATGAACAGCAATACTCGTTCTTTTAAGATCTTCGCTCTCGAGTACTGTGGCAAAATAGAGATAGTTCAGAAATTAGGTACCATTATTTTCGTCGGCACGAGTTTTCTCCAATCATAGACGTCCCCTTGCTGCGAAATGATAGAAAATTACATAATTTTTTCGGTTCTGTACGAGGTGGGATGCATTGGAAATTAAGAAAATGTCACTCGAAAGGATGATTAGTTGTGGCAGACAACAATGTTGCACAAGTTGACTCAACAAATAGAAACATCGATCGGCCATTGGAAGCATAAGTGTCACCACTACTCTTCTTCTAGTGTGGTGCGGGCCACGGACCGAACATGTTTGGACTTTAGATTACTTCGGTTATTCACTCATAATGTTTGTGGGATGAAAAGTTAAAATTGAAACTCGATTCTTGAATGGCTAGAAATTTGAAATTCGGTTACCAAAGTAATGCCACTTAAAATGATGCAATTCTTCTTTGTAATGAGAATTGTTGATTATAAAATGTGAGCTTCTTTAAATCTGGTTGAAATATTAATTTCGCATTCACTTCCTGTAAAATGAAATGAAAAAATGATGAAATAATTGATCTTTGAAAAATGGATGGTGTAATAGTCGTGACTCTCCGATACTTAAGTTAGTCAAGTCAAGAAAGAATAAGTCCTTGCTTCCCTAAGATTTTAGGGAAATTGGTGCAAATAGTCCCTAATATTTGTCCATGTTGCATTTTTGGTCCAAATTTTTAAAAGGTTGAGCTAATGATCCAAACATTTTATTTTTTGGACAAATGGTCCTTTTTGGATGGATTATGTCCAAAAGAACAGCTGGTATAATTTGCATTTGTAGTCTCAACTTTGACGGAAGTAACAATCATGTTCATAATTATTTTTTTGTCTTGTTTTTGTCATAGACCTTTGAGAGATTAAAAGTAAGTCCCTCTTATTAGAGTGTGTTTGGTGCATATTAAAATGAGACAATGCATTTTTTTAAAGTGATGTGACGAGGAATATGTGGTTGAAAAAGAAAGAAAAATTATTGATGTGATGGAAAATATTATTTTATTGAAGAATATGTGGTTGAAAATGAGTAGAAGAATGAAAATGAAAAAAATAATGTAGTTCAAATGGGGGCTAATATATTTATAAAAAGATAAAATTTTCCATGTATTGGAATAAATACAAAATAAAACGAAAAAAATTCACCTCCACGATTCGCGATAATATTTTTATTGAATAATCACCAATAGATATTGATGTCATTTTGTCGACGATTATCGACAAAATTTTGTCCATGATAATTTGCTACGTTATTTATTATCATTATTGTTGCTTTCGAATTGCCCTCCTTAGTGATTTTGACACCATTGACAATAGTGGAAATTACATCACACCCTACTTTTAAAAATCTCAATTCTAAAATCAAGTGGGATAATTTTTCTTTCAAAAATCAGATATTTTATTTTAATTAATATTTTTATAAAATAAATATTTTTACTAAATATATATACTCCAAACCCTAATTAATTTCAAATCAACCCTACCTACCTCCCTCAACCCCCACCTCATTTCCCCCCAAATCATTCTCTCTACCTCTCGTCTCTCTCTAACATCCTTCTCTCTCTGCCTTCTTTACCCACCGGCAGCCATGACGAGGAAGTTCAAAGGCGGTGGTGCTTTCAATCGAATGCTTAAAGGGAAGTTCAAAGGCGGACGAATGGGCTGGCGACATGCTCCAGACTGGCGATATAGTGGAGGAAATCAGAATTGGAAATATGATTATTAAATTGCCGTTTAAAAATGGGAAATCACCATTCGTCAACCAGTGGTGGGTGCAGTTCGGTGATGATGGTGGGGTTCCATACTCTTCGTTCTGAAGCCCAGGCCTCGCGCCTCTTCCTCCGCTGTTCCTTTTCTTTAGCTTCTCGCCGGAGTTGGGTTGTGACCAGGTTGTGTGGGTTTTATTGTGGGTTATTGTAGTGCGATGTTGTCGGAGATAGGTCATGATTTAGTGCTGAATGGTACGGAAACTAGGGAATGGTCTGCTGAAGTGTGAGCGGCGATGTCGTCGGAGTTGAGTGGCGATCTGGTGCAGAATGATGAAAAATCTGGTTTTCAGATCGTGACGTAGTGGTGACGTGGCGAAAGCGGCAGTGAGGTGATGGTGGTTGTGGGGTGTTGGCGGTTTTGTATCTATTTTTTTGGTATATCTGTGGTCGTGGTGGTTTCTAGCCTCGGTAGAGGTAGGTGATGGTGGTGGATCTGGTGGTTGCGCGGGTGCTATTGGTGTAGTGGTGGCGGTGGACGGTGGTGGTGATACTGTTAGAGATAGCGTTGAACTGGTGGTCTCAATTGTTGACGGTGGTCATGGATTAGACTAGCTGTGACCGCATAACGGACTATCCATGACCTTAAAATTCGATAATTTGTGACTAAAAATTAATATGTGACCTGTAATTTTTTTATACGTGACTAATAAAATAATCTGTGACCTATAAAATTATTAATTTGTGACCTCTAAAAATTTTGATATGTGACCGATAAACAAATTATGATCTATAAAATTTTTGAACTGTGATCTCGAAATAATTCGTGACATATAAAATTTTTGATTTGTGACCTCAAAAATAATCTGTGACCAATTAATTATGTACATGTGATCATTAATTGTATCATTATGACATCATTATATTTAATTAATTAATTGAAT